AGGGCACACAGGTAATGGGGAAAAAATAGGAACTAAGATACATCATGTACAGGTAGAAGAACCCTATAATAAATGTAAACGTATTGTATACACTAAAATTTACCAATAAAAGAATTTAAGCAAAAAAAATTCTCACAGTTGAGTTCCTTAATAAGAGGTTAATCAGGAGTATTCATTGCCAATAATATTCTATAATGGAGATACTGTATTCTGGATTGTCAAGGTACAGTTTTATCTCTTTACAGAAACTCATTTCTAGTGCTTCTTCTGCATCTGAGGGTGAGATAATTTTTTACCAAATGAAAGCTCAATGATCTCACAGCACACTGAGCATCTGGTTATTATGAAAGTAGAAGAATTGGAATGAGCATAATGCCATGGCCCAGCATTACATAGGCAGGGAAAGGTCGAGGAACCACGGGCATGTTATAAACAAGAAAGCTGCAACAATAGCAACAAGTCATGGATAATGAGTTACACTCTGCTTCCTACATTAACAAATACAGTAATTTCACTGAATTACTATTTATTATAGATTTCAATAAAGATGCAATACTAATGGAAATTTTATGGAATTATTAAGGAATTTTCATTTAAAATGGCATTCAGGAATTGCTACCAGGTATGGTTTGGTAAAATATGAAACCCAGTTCGCCTCCAAAATAACAAAGCTATGAAAATTTTGGCATCATCTATAGAAAAACACTTGAATGAAAAATTATTCTCAAAAGATATGTTATTTATAAAGAAATGTAACAGTTAAAACCATTATGATGTAAAACTTTTTCAAAGTCGTATTTTTATACCTTTAAATCAAAAATCACTGATTTAGTAAAAAAAAATGATCTATGACCGAAACTAATCTTTATCACTAGAATTTATTCCTTTTGTGAATTGATTCTTATCTTATTCATATTTTTTTCTTTATAATGTCAGATAAGAATCATAAGCATATATAGATTTTTCTTATTTTATTTTTACACATTTAGGGTCCAGGAATACATTTTCATTTCTCAACAATGTCCAAAGTTGCACATATATATAATTTGTTATCTCCCTGGGACATTTCTAATAGTGAAATAATGCAAATAATATTTACTAGGTGAGGTCAGACATAACTCAAATATTTTCTGGCCAAACTAAAATTTCACATACATAACTCAGGTTTTAAATTATTTATATAATCCAGTTATTTTATTTGGAAAATGAAAAACTGGTTTGTAAAGTCACATTGCTAGTTGGTGACTAGTTTAGCATTTTGTTTTATGGCTTTTGAAATCACTACTTTAATGTTTCCTGTTCCATGCATAAATATAAACAACATTTTCAAAAAACCAAAAAGCATATATCTTACAAACTTCCAGCTGGACATAAACCTGGAAAAGTTTAAAGAATGTAGTAAAAGCAGGAATATTGATTTCCACTTTGGAAATGAGTATAGATACAAATAAAAATTAACTTCTTGTCATTAGTGTATTTCTTAACTAAAGTCACTACATTTCTAACTTAGAAATAAATGGCCACAATATAACTTGTGTTACAAATATATATGATACCTCGTACTTGTCACTTACATACTGAATTTCTAAGGCAGACATTGGACTCAGGGCAGTTGAATCTGATTATATAGCCTATCTGATTTCTACACTCAATCTTTAACAAAAATCTATGATAGATTTCCTCAAGTAATAACTGGATAATTTTTATGATGAAAAATTTTTAATTCAAGAAAATGAATATAAGCCTTTTAGAAAATATTTCAACAAGTGTGAAAGCAAAGAAAAACTCCAGGGTAATCATGCACAGCCCAGGAAATTTAGATGGCTAGAACCCTTTTTCTTCTTCAATAGCTCTCCAGATGATAGCAGCATTATTATAATGTGCTTTGCATTTGATAATGCAATTGCACTAAAAGTCACATATTCTAAGATGATATTTTCCTCCTCTTCTCACTTCCATGTGCATGCCATCATTCAGCACTGTTATATGGAGCCACCTGTGTGTATGACACTCAGCCAGGCATGGCATTTCTGAAGTAATTTAGAGAGAGATGACAGCAGGTGAAATTGGAATATTCCCAGAGGATGCTCATTCTGCATTCAGAGGAATTCCAGAAACTTTTAAAGAGTTTCTCTCTTTCTAATTTGCATTATTTCTAAATATAGTTCAAATAATATTCCAAGTTTGCTAGCTATATTTTAATACATTAATATTTTAGTTTATGCCAGGCGTTGATATATGAATCAAGTAAAACCTTTAAATTAAGTGCAAATTAATGTTTTATCCTATAGAATACAGGTTATTGAAGCTTTTTGTCTTTGGAAAGAGGCAAAGGAGGGCAGTGAGCTCTTTTTTTTGCTGCCCTTCCTGAGAGTACCTTTTACACCTACTTAGGCTGTCACATGCAGCATATAATTATTAGTCAACTTCATTAATACAAAAATTGAATCAGCCAATAGTTTAAGTAACAATCACATAGAAGACAATCATTTATTTTCAGGGTTTGAAAAGGTGTATGCTTTACTATCATCCCTAAAAATATCACTGCTTGAAAACCTCATTAGTAGTTATCATTATTCCTGAAAGCTATTCATTTTGTCTTTGTGTAGCTCTAGGTGTTCTTTGAGTTGCAACATCTATGGCAGGTAAATTTTTGTACATGTCACCTTCACTCCGTGAGTTTACTCGTGTGGTTAGCTTACATTATATGGCGACAGGAACTTTGTAGAGGTAAATAAAAGTAGAAGGCAAAGTCAGAGTTACAACACATGAGGAAAGTTTACCATGCCACTTATTTCTAGATGTCTGGTTGTGCACCAATATATGCAATTTCTATTTGTCAATTTACAAAAAGAAGCTGAAAGTGTTATGTCAAGGAGACACTTGCCTTGGTTCTATAACCATAAGGAAATAAATTTTTCCAACACCCCTTTGGATCTGGGAAGTAGATTCTTCTTCTGAGCCTCCATGAGATCAGAGCCCATTCGACAACTTGACTTCAATCCTGTGAGGCTCTGGGGAGAGATTCCCGTGGAGTCACTCTGTGCTTGTATTTTTGACACACTGAATTCTGAAGGGGTATTTCTGTAAGCAAACAAATGTGTAGTACTTAGTGAATAAAAACAGGAGAATAAAACAAGAATATCATATCCTACAAAGTTTATTAACATTCTTATTTGTTCGTGAGAAAAATGAGCTCTAAAAGAAGTTGAACATTTGCCCAAAACTCCAGTTTATAATGTCCTGGTTATTTCGTAGTTTCATCATCTTTCATACCACACTAATTTGTTGCTTCGATAAATAAAATATTATATTTAAAACTATTTTTGAGAAGAAAAGAACAAGTCAGGGAGTTTGGGATCCTCTAGTATATAGGATCATTAATTTTCAGGCTACTACTATGTATTTAATCCTATGTTTGATATTTTTAACTATGTAATTTATTTCACAAAATTGTTTTTATGTAATAAATGACTAATATTAGAGAGAGAGTTATGACATGTGGCCAAATAAGAATATTATAACATTTAGTAATTATCAAGGCATACGAGCCTATTGGTAACATTTAATACAAACATTAGTTTTCAATGGAAGGAAATTAACAAAGTTATTCAGAAATGTGACGTTAGTCAAGGACAGAAAAATAATGAGCTATGCTAATTTTAGTGCTCCAAATCGTTCTGGCTGGCCATATTGTGACCTTCAGAATTCTGAACAGAGGACCAAATGCCTTCCATGCTTGAGATCAGAGTATGTGCTGAGGATTTTTTCCTTCAGTTCTTTAACAGTCCTTATCTTTTATCGTTATCTAAATTTCCCTTGTATTTTAACTTGACACTCATATTCTACCCTGTATTACTTGAATTCAATAAGTAACTTTATTAGGTCACTTCTGGTTCTTTCCTGACTTCCTTTTTGCATGCCTTCTTTCAGTAACTTACCCTCAGGATGATACACCACAACTACAAGCAGAAAGGACTTCTATCTAGGACAGTAGTATATACCACAGATCATGCTGTATTTGGAATATCCAAAGAAAAGATTTATATTAATTAAAACTAAATATGCCCAATCTTTCTAGACATAAATGCATGGACCAAACTATAGAAGGTCACAGATGAAACTTTTTCCATAACAGTTTTATGTTTCTATGCACTGAAAAGTTGTCATTAAATAGCAGAAAAGCTAAATGCCAAATTATGGCAGTTGGAGGATTTATATACATATTTGTGTATGTATTGTAGGTATTGAGTAGCCTGTGGATAAATAAGGGGTAAAGGGTGAAACAGCCTTAACCTTGGTAGAGCTACTGTATTACATTATATAGAATGAATTATTTCTTCAAATATGAAGGAAGAATATTTGGATGAAATGATAAACTGATACTCATTTGCAAGCCTATGGTGGCAGAAGCTTGTAAGTATTTCATTATCCATTTTTTTTCTTCTGTTTGAAGAAAAAAACTACACAATCAATGATATGTGATCATGGCATTAAGTTACAACTAATGGAGTGAGGTGAATACTGTGCTTCCTTTTAGATCCTGGCCATAAAAATCTTTGCCTTCTAATTCTTCACGCTTTATTCAATAATGTACATTTTTAAATTGTGAATAAGGGGAGTCTCTACATCATATGTTGAAAAATTTGGAGTCACAAAATGATGACTCCTGAAGTACCATTTGGAGAAGTGCTGCCCACTTATCAGAAATATTTGACTACATGAAAGAGAACTAAACTATCACACTTCACCACTTATTTATCCACAGACTACTCAATACCTACAATACATACACAAATATGTACATAAACCCTCCAACTGCCATAATTAGGCATTTAAGCTTTTGTTCAGTGCAATTTTCTGGGGGAGAAACTGAAATATCTCAGTAGCATGCAACAGTGCATGCTTATTTTTCACTGCCATTATTTGAGGACTGAGGTACAGTGGTAGCTATGTGACAGAGAGTTGACTCTCGATTTATTGCATTATGACTTCACAGTATGGGGCTAACTCTGAAGGGATGTTATCTGAAGTTTTTTCTTCCCACAACAGAAAGAATGATACAAGAAACTTGGACAAGCTGGAAATCAAATTTATAGTTCTGCAACATTCATCACTTTACTCATGTTTTCTTGGCTAAATAAACAACAAATGAATAAACCCAAAGTCAAGGTGAGTGAATGGGGTGGAAGTGGAGTTGTGTCATCTCCTTCGAGGAAAGAACAGGAAATAAGAACAGCAAGATAACCAATTACAGAAATCTTACATATTGTGGCTTATTTCTTACAACCTTGATACTTCTAATGTACCTATTATATGCAGGCTTTTGTTAAGGGCTTTTTCATAAATAATTCTGGCCATTAACTTTACCATACACAACTATAAAATATGTTCTAGATGTAAAGATAAGTTTCAGGAAAGTAAAACAATATTTCCATGGATATTTATAATTTGAATTAAAGTGAGATTCAAGTCAACCTCTGTTAATTTCATTTATTCCAACTAAAAAATTTCTGTGCCTATGAATAAAACATTACTTTTTTTCTACCCCTAGTCTGTCACTAGATATCCTCAATATTTTCTTTATGTAACTTGTAATTGTGTTACATGGTTTATATTGTATTTTTAGTACTAAGACTATGTGTCATTCATACAGTTAAAGAACTTCCAGGATGAAATCTGACCTAAGCTGTTTGGAGAACTGTTTTCTAAGATTCATAACATGCCATTCAGGCACTGCCCCTCCATATATATTTACACACCATGTCCAGGTATGTAAGAATCTTCTACAGTGAGGAACAGAGAAGGTGGGGATGTACCTCTCCAGGAGTCCTTCATCACTTCCTATCATCTTCATCTCCATCTATCCCTTTCCTGTGCAAACAAAACTGGGGCCCAAGCTCCTGAGCCCATCATTTGCATATTTCATCACTTCATCTATGTTAAGAAGAAGGAGAGGTGTTGGTTACATGGTTAGCAGGAGGAAGTTTTGGGAGTTGTTATCTAAAAGATAAAAATCTAAATTTTAAAGTTTAATTATGTCATACTAGTTACAGATGGATCTACTCTGAATGACATTTTTAAATAAACTTAAATATCTTAATAAAAATTATGAGATTAGGAGTTTTGTCTTATAAAAAAGAAAACTTCATCTGGCAAGTAGAGAATTGCAGTTTATTTGTTTATTGGATATATAATAACTTCAGATCTTTCAATATTTAAAGATATAAAAGTAGTTTCTCCCTGTAATTATTCCTCAAAATGTAAACCATTGTTACTTGTGTTTTGTTAATCCTCTCAGAATTTAAATATATAGATAAACTTTTTTTTATCCATATATGAATGTATGTGTATGCTTTTTTCCTCTTCTACAAATTGTAAAATACGTTTTTGGGTCTTGCTATTTTTATTTAGCAATTTATTCTAGAGACTGTTCAATAATAAAAGATAAAGAAATTAAAACATTAATGTGAATTTTACCTTTGTTCTTACAAACAATGCTGAGATTAATAGTTCTATAAAATCATGGCACATTTAGAAGAGCAGACAAAGCAACATTCTGAGGATTGGAACTGCTATTTCAGTAATTCCTGTCAGAGGTTATAGTATTAATATTCTGACCTGAAAGTAGAAGAGCTGAATACTCACATTTTAAATCAGATTTCTAAATTCTAAAACAAAAGTTTGTCCCTATATTTAAAAAAATATGTAAATCACTTTCTAATGCTTTTTTCCTTTAACAATGGACATGTATATCTTATGAGTGACAAGTCATCCTCCTCATTATGCTGATATAGATGCTTCAATACTTAAATATTCCAATAATAGAAGCTTATACCTCTATATGCCGATGTAACAAAAATAAAATAATGGCGAATCAAGTTAGAACTCTTTCTACAATATAGCATTCTTTTCACTGTAACACTACAGTATAGCATCTTTTTCAAATACAGTAGATTAGCAAATACTTACATTTTCTGCTTACAATCTTGCTTTAACCTGCTCAGGAGCCACTTACATGTGCACACAGATAACACTGCCACACGCAAAAACACAGAATCACCTCTACCTGATGATTTTCATTTTAGCTTGATTTATAAGTCAAGGTTATCTGACAAAGCACTTGAATGAACATCTGGCAGCTTGGGGTTCCCACTCCAATAGAATCAGTATTCTGAATAATTTTCTCTGGTCAAATTGGAAACTCTGAGCCAGTCATTCAACTGCCAAATATGTGGGTGTGAATTTTGGAAATGGGTGAACTCTAACGTCCTTCCTATTTTTGTGATATATTTCTGTAATTCTCCAAGTCACTCAGCTCAGTATTCCAAAATTACTTTAGCCTCTCTCCTCTTCCACACACAGATATCCAATCATGTTTAAAATTTGGTAAAAGCCAAATTTATAATTCTCAGGTTAAACTCTTTTCAATTCCACTGCCACTGAGCTAAATCAAAGTTATATTATTATTTGTATTATGTAATACTATATATATATAATATATATTTCTCCTCTGGGATTATCAGTATATTTCAATTATTTATTATCACTTGATTCCTTAGAACAGTAAGTAGACTTTTTAATGAAAGTAATGTTAAAAACGTATTCTTGATTCTCTGTTATATTCATTTATTAATGATCATTTTATATGGAGATAATGTGTATATATATGATTTTAAACATTTTAGATTACTATTTCTATAAGTTTGTTAAATTGATAAAAGAATAGTTAATGGCAAAAATGATATCATTCTAATGAATGCTCTTGGAGAATAAAGAATGTAGTATTTCTGCTGCCTCAGGAGGAAAAACACAATATAACATCTTGAAAAAAAACGCACCTCATAGAAGAAAGTCAGTGGGAAAGAAATGAAAGTCAGATTAGTTTATATATGAAAACAGCTGGAAGGCCTCTAGTTGGCTGAGTTCAGTAATTTCTAGTTTATTTCAAGATCGATATATGTGCATTTTCACTTTTTTTAACAATCTCACACACAAAGGGAACACTGTATGTAGTGAATGTTTCTATAATTAGCATAGCTATATTATTGATTGAATAAGAAATCACATTTTTCAAGATTTAGAAAGTGCACATTGTATTGACAATGTCTAGATATAACCTGGTTTTCCTGCTTATATTTTAATAAAGATACATTGTAAATATTAAATTATAGCCCTTTTTTCATTTTATATAATAAATGATACTGTAGAATGGAGAAGGTGACACTGGCTTTTCAGCTACAGTGTTAATTAACGGTTTTATATGAATAGAGTTGAGGTTAGTTCCTTCGGTAGTTGCATGATATTGGGAAACTGACTTTACATTTCTAATATTTATGTATTTTTCAGGGTAATAATAGGAATTTTGAGGACACTCAAGTTGATGTAAAGAATTAATCACAGTGCTTGGCAAACAGGTTTCTTCATCAGCCTGCTCCTCTTCCTCTTCATCGGTATCACCATGATCACCACTTTCTATATGTTTGAATTATGTAGGTCCTAGTCTGATAACATGCTTTGTGATTTCTATTGTGAATTCTTTCCTGGATTAATAAACATAAATAGGGCTATTTATCAAATAGCCCTTAGCTCTGTGCCTTGCCTTGAAAATGTTTTCAATAAATCTGCTAATTTAGAAGATACAACTTTTACTTTTCTCCAGTTTGTTAGCTTCTTATGGGTAAATTCCATAAGAAGTCAGAATTAAGAAAACAAACCAATATTAACATAATTTACTGTGTATAATACTTTATCCCAAGCATTTTCTAGACATTTAGAAATGAGTGTGGTTAAATTTTCTGAGGTATTGAAGGTTTAATTAAAAATTATAAATGGCAAAGTCCTGCTAGGTGAAGGACCAATCCTCAAATATAGGCCCATTTCCCCACAGGATATAGATTTTTCTATGACACTCGCTGACTCTTTCCTAGGATCCAAAATGATGCCCCATGCATCACAGAAACTCAATTTGTGAAATAAACAAATAAAATAAGAAATAAAACCTGTCACAATCTAAATTCTCAACTCATTCCTTTATATTAAAATTAATTTGATACCTATATACAATTGAACTCAACTTTTAAAATTCAGGCATATCCATGTAAATGACACTAAGCAAATTAATAAAAAAGAATAAATATTCTAAGTTGATATAAATTTCTTTAAAGGACATGAAGTTTAGCCACTTGTGGATACCAAAAAAGAAAAAAAACTTTACCAGGTGAATCAATAAAAATTCAATTTTACTTCTTAATTTTTTATTTTATTATTATTTTTGGTACCGGTGATCAAACTCGGGACCGTGCGCTTGTGAGGCAGGCGCCGGAACCACTGAGCTAAATCCTCAGCCCTAAAAATTCAATTTTAATAATTAGCTTTGTGTTTGCATATGTATCTCAGTGTGGATACCAAAACAGTGACTCCTTTTCAGTAAAATATTACTTTTATAATTTAAATTGACCTTTTATTTTTTATTTTTTTAATTTGACAGCTTTATTTCTCATGAATCAGATAATTTAGAAAATTAGGCTTGAATTTGAATATCTTTGCTGTTTTATTTTTGTCTTTTTATTGTGGAACTTTCAAAAATATACAAAGTAAACAGAATAGTATAAAAAGTCCTGTATAACATCTGTCACCCCATTCTCAAAGTACTAACATGTCTGTCATTCTTTGTGGGTTATGACTCATTCCACTCCCCACCTACCACTTGTCATTTTTCAAAGTTCTTTTTTTTTAGGTAAAAAGGACATAAATTGAAATGCAACAAATCTAAGTTGTAGAATTTGGGAGAAATATACATGTGTTGTCCATATTGCTATCAGGTTATGAGATGTATCTGGAATCTATGCTGATAGATGAAGAATATGTTTAAGTCTAGCATGTAACTTGAAAATGAAATTCTTAGAAAAGTCATGTCTGGTCATATTTGGCTGATTGTAATATAATAAACCAATTTACTTATTTGAAAGCAGAGTGGCTAGTGAACTGAACAAATGATGAGAAACACCTGTAGAAAGATTCATATTAAAGACATCTTGCAGTTTTTTGGAAAGGCTTTTCTTCAAGGCTCATCTTTGGTCCAACAAATTTTGAGATTAGGATGATGGAATAAATCAAAAGCCCGTGTATGGTAGAGATGATCCATAAATTTCTACTTGGCTTAGTTACTATTGATTCTGATAGCATAATACCAGAAACTAAATTAAAATGTTCATCACCAAATCATAAATCAACATCGTCAAATCACTTGCTTTCCTTGAAAACAAGCACCTTCTCACTGGAATTTTATAAGATACAATTGTGCCCAAAGAATTGAAGCAGATATTTAGAACAGCTAAATATATACTTTGAAAGAATTAAATATGTTCTCAAAATGACACTCCTAGAACAATTCATATTGCTCCTTGCATGCTGCTCTCTGCTTTACTAATGCTACCAGAGCCTTTTTAATTATGAAAACATTTGCATATTCTTGACTCCTCCCTCACATTTCACGACACACAATCACACACATGCACACACTTCACAAGACACACACACACATAATTATAAACTACATCGCTTATTTACCTCTTATCTATCCTTCATTTTCATTACTGCTGCTGACTACCATGTGCAGAATTCCCCCTTTCCTTCTGTACCACTGCATCAGAATTTTCTCTTTGTCTGCGTTCTTTCTCCACTTTCCCCTCAAGTCTTAATCTGGATACTCCAATAGTACTAAGAGTTGTCTTCCAGTTACCATGCCCAGAATTCCACTGTCTCATTAAAAATGCTCCAAATTAATTAAAAGAATCATACCACAGTGATATATGTGCGCCCATGTTCATAGCAGCACAGTTTGTAATAGCTAAAACTTGGAAACACCCCAAACGCCCATCAACTGGAGACTGGATAAAGAAAATGTGGTTTTTTAATAAAATGGAGTACTACTCAGCCATAAAAAATGAGAAATTAGAGACATTTATAGCTAAGTGGATGCACATTGAGGAGATACTCTTAAGTGAAATAAATAGGACACACATGAATAAATACCGAATAGTTTCTCTGGTGTGAGAAACTGAAGGTGTAAATAAGGACTAAATGTATAATAGGTAATGTGAAATAGGAAGAAAAGGAGCAAAGGGGAAGGAAGTGGGAGGGCTAGGGGAAAGGATAGCAGGGAATGGGATTAATATGAGAAAATGGAAAAATAGGAACCAAATCTTTGTAAATAGGGAGGACTGGAGGGGTTGAAGGGAGGGCTGGGCAAGGGTGAAAAATAAGAACCAAGAGAGACTATGTAAAGGTGCAAATTTCCACTGATGAATGTCATTATATTGTATACCTAAAATGTACCAATGATTAGAATGAATAATCGATAATGCAAAATAGGAAGAAAAGGTCCAAAGGGGTAGGGGTAGTGGGAGGGGCAGGGGAAAGGAGAGAAGGGAAAGGAAAAATGATGAGAAGTGGAAAAAATGGAAATAAAGTCTTTGTAAATAGGGAAGGGTGGAGGGAGTGAAGGGAGGGCTAGGAATGGGGAAAAAATAAGAAAGATACATCATGTGCAGGTGCATGCACCCAGTGATAAATGTAAACGTGCTGTATACCTACAATGTACCAGTAAAAGAATTTAATGAAAAAAAATGCTCCAAATTAGTCTCCAAAGCATTCCCCTTGATCAACTCCACCCAGACATGGCCTCCCATGAACTCTTTCCTATTTGATTTTCAAGCTTCATTTTAAATTTCTGCCTTATACTTTCAGTCAAAATGGGTGAGTTATCAAGATAGCTACAAACCCTACAGAGCTTTCACCCATCTTTTTTTTACCTGCCATATGTTCCATAATCTTTCCATGTCTAAACTTTTCACCTTCTTTTAGTCTGTTCATATTATACCTTTTCTTTAAATCCACTACTGTACTGATCTTAAATATTTTTTAAATATACTATTTTACTAATTATATGTATAATTTCTCTTCAGTGCAGGAGAAGAAGGAACAAGAAGAAACAGAAGCAAATCCTCAAAGAAGAAAAGGCACATGTAATGCCAACACATAGAAAAAAATACTGTTAGAATTTTTATGTATCTTTTTAGCCTTTTAAAACTATATAAAATAGTATATATTATGCATTCATTTTAAATATTTTCTCATTTAATTATTCTTTAAAGTGACAAAAATTACATTTGCTCACTGCAACAATAAAATAATGCTACCAAAGTTACATATATGCAGAATTAAGTGTGCCAAAGAATATGCACACCAATACAGAACTTATTGTTTATATAGTATTTAGTATCCTCACTGGAACTTGCTCTTATAACTTATCAGCATCCATCTTAACTAGTGTGGACCTAACTTGTTCCATATTCTATTGTATAGAACACTGATATAATTCTGGTTTCCCCAGATTTCAAGCAATTCTGCAATAAAGTCTTTTACATCGAATCAGTTAAGTCTCTAAGATCATTTCAAATTAAGTTGTTGGAAAACAAAGAAGGATATATGATAATTAGAAACAAGTGGCTCTTTCCATGGCTAGAAGAGATGTGAGAGAGAGGGGTAAATGTTACCAGAGAGAGAAGTGAGTCACACAAAGAAGGCTGCTTTCTGATGACAAATTACTGGTGTTTGAAAAGTAAAACAAGCTCGGTTTCCTTCTTAATGGAATCAAGGGATTAACTGATTTCATCTTCTTACCCAACTCTCCTGCAGTCACATGCTGGGATTCCTTAATCGGAAGAAAGAAAACATAGTAGACCATTTACATCATCTCCATAGGTCAACCAGGTGGGTCAGAGAGAAAGCAGAGTGGAGGAGGGACAATGTGCATCTGGGGGATGCAATGAAAGATGTCATGCACACATACATCCTTATACATTATAGATGGGCATTTTCCAGTCTATAGGCAAGATCTCTAAGAGGCTGTTGGATATGTATTTTGAAAAATGAATATATAATAGATTAAGAAAACTGCAACAATTTACAATTCCACTGGCATTGCAACTTGGTTTTTCACCAAAAAAACTGTACCATTTTTCTTTGACTTATATTTCTCTAGATCAGGTTTAATAACTTCAAAGTGTAACATTCTTTGAATACTTCATAGTATATTTAATAAATCCTGTGTTACGTTGCATTCACTTTTTAAAAAATACAATGAAATAAAGACAAATCATTTAGTATATTTCCTATAGTTAATTTATTTGGATAAATGTTCAAAGATAGAGCTTTAGAATTTTCTTGTGAAAGAATATGACCAATTTTAGATATTGTTTTGTTTTGTTTTGGTCTATTTTTTATTATTAATCTTATTTAATGCTTTTGACAATGTTTACATTCATTTAGTTTTTTAGGTTCCCGTACATGGACTTGTAGTTAAGAATTTCATGGCTACAACTTTCTATTTATGAGACATCCTTGTCTATTGTATCTTTTTCATCTACATTCAAAATGCATATGTTCCATTTAGTCTACTATGCAGACAAGGCTCACAAATTACTAATCTATTCATTA